CCCAGGTGTGCCCCAATTGGAAAGTGCTCCACCGCAACACCTTAGACTGGTGCAAAGCCACCCTCGCCCCCCTCATGGTCCTCGTGTTCCACTGCTCCCAGGTTTCCCCCGGTCGGCGAGCGGGATGCATCATGCGCCTAATGTGGTTCAGCTGCGTGCTGTTGGCTGCTTTGAGGATGCTGTCGGTCACAGGCCACGACTGCCCCCCCCCAAAGCGCAGCCCCTCTCACAAGTGTTTGGTGGAGCTTGATCCTGCCTGCGAGCGGTGTCGGCGCACAGAGGAGCTTGGCATGCTTGTGAAAAGCTTTCCTGGCTCTGTGGTGCATTTCAGCCACAATTGCTGCAACCCCCTCTCCGAAAGTGATTGGGGACCCCAATGCTGCGATGACTTCCCCAAAGGGCTTGCAGGGCACCTGCTTTCCCCCAACGGTAAAGGCGCCCCCCTCCGGTCTGCTGTGGATGATCGCCGTTTTGGTGGGGTTGATGGTGAGCCCGTGGCGGGCGAGGCGTCGTTCCAGGGCTGCCAGCGGGGCTTGCAGATGCTGCGCGTCATGGGACCACAGATAGGTGTCGTCCATGAACGCCCCCCCTGATTCCGGTGGCGGAGGGCCCTTGCAGGGCCGTAGTAGATGGCTCGTCTCCTTCAGGGCCCCCTCGAGGCAGTCAGCGACGTGAACAATATAGGGCTGTCGGGGGAGCCCTGCCGCACCCCGTTCGTCTGTGGTATGCTGGTGACTGTGTCGCCGACAGCTATGCGCATCTCCCGGCTTCAAGCAACCCCACCCATGCGCGCGCCTCCCACGGCATCCCCCCTCTGCTGCCACCCCCTCCAGGTCTCAATCCCCCGACCCTTGCAGCGACCATGTCCCCCATACTCTCCTGCCACACGCTATCGAAGGCTTTCCTGATATCCAACTTGACCAGCCAGGTCGGTACCCCCCACTCTTTGGCGTGCCTGACCACCCTCCTGAGCACCACTAGGAGTTCGGGTGCTTGCTTTCCAGTCCCCGCCCACTGGCATGGTGAGTCCTTCTGAATCTGTCTCCCCCCCCGCAAAAGGAGCAGCTGCGCGAACCACTTTAGCACTGCGGAACTGAGCGTGATGGGTCTGGTGTCCCCCCACGTTGGCGGGTCCCCCTGCGTTTTGGGTAGCAGGATCGTGGCCCCCTGCTGGACGGCTGGCGGAAGTTCCCCTCTATAGAGGAAATCATTGAGCATGTGTAGGAGGCGTGTGCTCCATTGCTCTTCCTTGAGCAGCAGGCGCAGGATCTCATGAGTAACCCCATCTGGCCCCGTAGCCTTGTTGTTCTGCCATGTGCGGGTCGCCAGCTGCAGGTCGTCGTGCGTAAAGGGCCGCCATGGAGTATGCTTACACAAGACCTCCAGGGCTTTGCGTGTCCCCTGGATGCGCTTGGCGCTTGCTGCCGCAGGCGCCTTGGCAAAGATCCCCTCGAAGTGTTGCTCGAGTTGTTGCCTCCATCGTGGGTGGTCGGTCAGCCCGTGCTCCCATCCCACTCTGTTCCTGAGCTGGTTCAGTGTCCGGTATGCTCCCCAGTGTGTGGTGCTTGCCGCCGCCACCAACCCCCCGTACCACTGCCGGTACTCTTGCTTGCGCTGCCGCGCAACTTGCTTCCATAAGTGTCTGGCTGCTGCCCCGCTCGCTTGATGGGCTTGTTTGCGTGTCGCCTTGAGGGAGGGGCTCTCCCGAAAGCGCTCGCTCGGTCTCCCCCGCTCCGTGATTCGGAGCGAGAGGTCGCTGATGGCACTGTGGATGTCGGCTTGGGGGGGCGGCTGCCGGATGGCCTCCATGACTTGCATGTCTCTTCGAAAGCGGCGGGCCCCCCAGGGTGGCGCATGCTTCTTGTCCGTAGGCTTGTCGCTAACAGCTCCCCACACCAGGTCATTGGTCCGATCTGGCAAGGTGTCTGCTTTCCTTCGCAACCCCCCCGTCCTGTATGTGCCCCCCGCGGTGTAGGATGTAGTCCAGTCTGCGTGCTCGCTGTGCCGTGTTGTAGGGGTGGTATGTGGGTACGGGGAGCTCTTGAGGCGGGAATTGGGTGCCAGCCCGTGCGCACGCCTCCAGGATTGCTTCTCCTCTCCCCCCTTGTGCTCGCCACCCCTCTCCGTCTGGGTCCGTAAATGTTTCATTGGCATCGAAGCCTAGCATCATCCTGGCTTTAGTCATGGTCGGCTCCCAAGAGCTGAGGATCCGTTCCGTCTGGGCAATGGTGGCATGGTGCGGGATATGTCCTGAGAGGTATCGGGTGCCCTTGGTCCCCCGTGCATTGGTGAGGGTGGTTGCTATGCCCGACATCAGCAGCTTTGTGTTGATGTGCTTGCGCCCCCCACTGCGGTATGCTATGGCTGTGCCTCTCCAATCCCCCTCGTTCTTGCCGTAAACGATCACCCACCCCTGGTCCTCATGAAAAGCAACCCCCGGATCTGTGATGATTTCCTGCAGCAGCAACACATGCAGTGTGGCAAGGTCTGGGCTCCCCGCGAAGTCGCGGACGATCTCCAGCGCATGTTGCGCTGTCAGTCCGCCCACGTTCCAGGTCCCCACTTTGCAGTACGTCGGGGGTGTCCCCCCTTCTGTGCGGTGAAACTGGCCGATGCTCTGTTCCCATCACTGGAGCTCCGCTTTGCGGGGCCCCCACGCCTCTTCGACCTCTTTGAGTGGCTTTTTCATGGCCTTAGCCAGGAGCTTGACATCTGCCCATCCTGCTCCGGCTGCCTCTGCTCCCTGTGGCTTCTCCGCCGTGGCACTTGCGATTTTCTGGCATCTGTACCAGACCGTGCCCGTAGCAAACTCAACCTCCAGCTCCGCAAGAGTGCCCCCAAGTTCAAGGATCGTGCGCTTGACCTTGCCTGCAAGCTTCGCCCTGCGTCGCCTTTCTGGGCTTTGGCTGATTGCTATCCACAGCTTACGGAGCCCCCCTTGCTCGTGCGCCCCCAGCGTGAGGTTCGCATTTCTCACCCTTTGGATAGCTTCCTGCACTCGGTGCCTTCGAGCGTCTTCGTCTTCAAAGGGCTTTGGCAGGATCGGCAGGATGGCATATCCCCGCCTCAAGCCCGGCACAAACATATCCTCAGCATTCAGCTTAACGTCCAGCGAGCGCAAGACGTCACGTGCCGCCTTCAGGGTCTCCTCCGCTGCTGTGTCCGGGTGCCATCCCCCTATGATTAGTGCCGGCTTGCGTCCCCCCTCGGTGTCGGTGGTACTCCCCGGTGCAACTGAAGAAGGCGGCTTGAGCTCAAGGGTGGACAGCCTTTCCTCCAGGTGCCTCTGCGCTGCTTTGACCTCTTCCAAGGAGCGGGCCTGCACGTCATAGCTTTTCGTGACTCTGTCCAAGGCTCGCACGGTGTCTTGCGCCTGTTGGGCCACGATAGCTTCCACGGCCTGGACCTTGCCCTGCATCACCGTGACATCCCCCTGGAACCCCGCCAAACTTGCAGCCAAGTGTTCTCGATCTCGTTCCCTCTCCTCTGCCAACACTGTCCGGAGCATTGATAGGGTCAGGGCTTGCTCCTCCACGCGCCCCTTCTTGGTGGGCGAGGCATCGGGCCCTTCCCCCCTGGAGGCTTTGTCCCCTTCCATGGGTTGCGCCCCCGAGTCTCCATTTCCTCCTCCAGCCAGCATGGTTGCCCTTCACAGTGAACTGCAGGTAGTGTCACGTTGCACAACCGCCTGATTCTTTAGGACCCCTCGGACTTGCGGAGAATCCCCACGGCCTTATTCTCAGTGTGTAGGCTCGCCGGTCACAGTGGGGTAGCAGTTGTCACAGTCCCTCACTCGCCTCGACGATGGATCACGAGGGGGACCGATCGTTACGATGTCCCTCGGCCGGACCCCCGCGGAGTAGAGCGCAAGGAGCCCCCGCAGCAGGTTCAGCAATCGCGTCGGAGGCCCTGTGAAGGAGTCCCCTAAGTCAGGCCCCCGGGTTGAGGAGTCACCGAGGCCTTAGCGCAAGAAAGCGAGGAAGGAGAGAAAGATTCAAGAAGCGGGGCGGGTTGGCCTCGGCTCTCCTTGAACCACTCACGGCTTGAGCCAAAATGGCTCTCTCTCTCTCTCTCTCGCTCTGGCGAGTTACTAGCTTCACAACTTCTACTTCTACTGCGGCTAGTTCCACTGCTGCTGCTACTTCAACTTCTTTGTCTACAACAAAATCGACTATTACAACTGCTACTGCTGCTCCTGCTGCTGCTATTACTACCACTACCACTACGACTGCTCCTGCTACTGCTGCTGCTGCTGCTACTACTACTGCTACTACTACTCACTCCTCCTCCTCCTCCTACTACTACTACTACTACTACTACGACTACTACTACTACTACTACAACTGCTCTTGCTACTGCTGCTGCAGCTACTACTACTGCTACTACTACTCACTCCTACTACTACTCCTACTACTA